AAATATTTCATTTCATAATTCATTCATATTGACATGTACTTAGAAGCATGGAAATGATATAATCAAAACATATATATTTATACACCGTTAAATCTAACATAATAGAAGTGCCCAAAAGTCTGTATAGGCTCCCAATACTATGAAATGCAAAAACTGTACAAATTGTCGCCCCAGTGTACTTTACTCCTTCTTAAAAGCCAACAGCATAGAGTGAGCAACAACGAGCTCAACGAAATAATCAAGGCTAAAATAAAATTTTATAGATGAAACAAAATTCATACTAGTAATAATCAAGGCTAAAATAAAATTTTATAGATGAAAAAGAAACAAAATTCATACTAGCATGTAATCTATGAATATGTCCACACCACATGACACATTATGTTATAAACGTATAAAATATGAAAAGAAATAACATGTAATACAGGGAATCATGACTACTGTATAAAACATATATTTTATTCATTCATGAGTAATCATAAGCATGTAATCAAAAGTATGTTCATAAAAGTAAAAAATCTAATAACATGAATGTCGCTTCTAATTGCATAGGTATCAACTACTGTAATGTTTTGTTATATCATTGGGTCATTCTGCGGCATGAATGTCATATTAACTATTGATAAAGGTTGGTCGCCTAATATAACAGTAACCAATAGCCCCTCAGGAATTAATGGTCCCCTACATTTCGTGACCTGATATCAATAATTCTAAAGTCATTGTCTGAATAACAATAGTCAGGAATTCAACCATTCTCTATCATTGGTACTTATAATAGCTTACTTATAACATCACTTGTGATATTTCTTAAAGCATAATTCCTATAGCAAGCATCATATATCATATGCATGAATACCTGAATCAATGATTTCATAAGTATATTCATCAAACTTATAACATAATAAAATTATATATCGTAAGGGACAATAAGTTTGCATTCAAACAATCTATATAGATATTCATCTAATAATAAACAGAAAAATTAGACATGAAATAGTGTTAAATACATAATCATATAGACCTACAAAGAATTATTTTTCCTAAATTAGCACATCATTATTTCACCTAAATTAACAGAGCAGATCTACGACAAGTTTCCTCAAGCTCGTCTCGAGCTCACTGCCTAGTGTAGACAATTTGGGATTCGTAAACATCTTAAGATTTCACAATATTTTAACTCACATCGTGCTTTAACCATAAACATAATTTATTAACGAATTATTACCTCAAACAAGTTTCTCAGCATAATCAGCTTTGCTTGATACTTTCTATTCTTCTCCCGTCTTCCTCCTACCACCTTAATTCTCGCTTTTCTTCATTGATTTTCCACTAGTAACCCTCAAGGAAGCCCACAAACCAATTTCATAATCTCCAACACAAGTTCACATCCACTACAATTACCAAAAACGAAAAAGGGCACCTTTTCATGGCACAATTAGAGTGAAAGAGGGTTTCCTACTCACCAATTTTGTCCGGAGCCCTGAAATGTCATCTGTGATACTCGGTGGGTCACACAATTGTGTCATTCATGTTTGTTCTATGGGAGTCAATCACGGCTCCTTCTAGGCGAGCGAGTTCAAAAACAATGGGGTAAAAAATAACAACAATTTATCGCAACCCCTTACTCTCAGTCATTCGATCAAATCAAGCAAATGCAAACATGGTTAGGTGCGGGAGGTCGGCTAGGAACTATGCTGACAGAGATTAGGGAGGAAAATTATGATTAATAAAGTTAATTAAACCTATAACTCAAAATTTTATCTCATTCTGATGCAGGTGCGAAGGAAAGTTGTGCTTCATGTCGCAAAATAAGGAGCCACTCCCGCTTCCGTAATTTCGGTAGTTCAAGTGCGAAGGATAACGTCGTGGCCTGCCATGGCTTAACATGGAGCAGCTCCCGTGATTTACGGGCCAATCGGCTCTTCCGCATGGGTTTGGCACCTCCTTTCCATAGGGGGGATCAAATCCTAATTATCTAGGGTTAATTTCGGTCGCCGATGTCCGATCTTCTTCTTTTGAGGGTTGTATCTAAGGGAATGGGTGGTGTCCCGGCTATATCTCTATCGAGGTGGTGATATCCCTATCCCCTTTTGCATCCTCCCATGTCGCTTTTGGTCGCTCTATTCCAATAGTAGCTGCCTATAACAATTGTCCTATTATTTCTTCCTGCAGTTCTCTACCTTCTTGTCATCATTGCTTGCTACCACACCCTCCCGCAATCCCCTACTTGTTGTCCAGTTGTCCCAATCCAATTTTGTCTTATTGTTGCACTCTCCACCGCCTTCAGCGTGCTGCCCAACTCCCTCTGTTTGTTGTCGCATCCTCCCACCCCCCAGCTGTCGGCTACCGCACCTTGTCGGAGCCCCCTGCTTGTTTTCTAGCCACCACAACACTTTCTCGGCTTGTTGTCGCACACTCCAACAACCTTCTATCGAAGTCCAACCACCAACCCACCTTCTTATCGCTACCACAACCGTCCATGTCACCTACAATTCTCTGTTTCCACTACCTCGACACGAATTGAGAGAGAAGTAAAGAGACATGAGCACATATAGTTCCGTCAAACGTACATTGAATAATGGTCATCCATTTGATAATGGATGGCTACACTTAGGCTTCGTTTCGAGCGGCTTCCCAGCTCCTTTGCGTTGGACGGAAAGGTTGTAAACCACATGTGGTTTGGCAAAATATCATTTCTCAAGTGTCCGCCAACGTTGGTCCACAAAAATGACATTTTTTCGCTGTTGTAAAACACGGATGTCGACCTCCATTCCGCCAATGTGAAGTTTAAAGGAGCTTCGCCGCTCCTTCAAACATAGCCATATATATAAGACATTCATCTGATCAGTTTATTTCAATCAAAAAAATTACAAAATTCCAAAAAATGGGATGAGAAAGCAATTCAAATTTGGGCCAAACAATAAATGAGAAAATTAAATGATACCGGAGTTAACCCAAACTACAATAGGGAAATCAAATTACTCAAAAGCAAATAAATGATTACAACTCACACACTGAAAGGAAAAATACAACAAATATAGCACAAAAACTCACAATAGGGCGGGGATCTAAAGTGGTATTGGTGGCAGTTAGGGGTTTGAAATTGTTGGTACATGATTGGGATGGATAGGTGGTGGTTGGAAGGAGGAAGTTAAAGCAGGGAAGGGACTTTGGGTGGTTGTTTTGGGGGTGGCAGCAAATGTGGGATGGCTGCATAGCAATATGACAACAAGGGAAAGGGATTGTGGGGTTGTGGAGGTGATGTCAGATGACGGGACACGAGGTAGAAAAAGAAAAGGAAGGATTGGCGGGCTATGACAGCAAAGGTGGGGGTCTGGGACAGCAAAAACAGCAAAGCAAGTGGCTGGAACAGCGAGGGGCAGCGAAGGAGAAGGGTGGTGGACTGCGAAACAGCATAGGGGAGGGCTGTCCTGAGACTGTGGCCGCGAGAAGATGGCTAGAAAGGGGCTTCAGAGGGGTTAAATATAATAAATATCCTAGCAGGGTCGGGCTACAACCAAAGCACAACTCAACCTTTGGAGAAGGTCACTACCTCGGACAAGATAAAGTTGGATCACCACTCGTCATCGGATATAGCCCTAAAAGGGAAAACAGCCCCGACAACTGGCTTGGACAGAAATATGAAACTTTGAACCCAAATTTGAACCCTAAGACAACAAACAACATATTTATAATAAGTACTAGTAGTTAGAGTAGGAAAGAATTAGAATAAGAAGTAAATAGAATTAGGAAGGGAATGGAAAAATGCAATGGATCAATTAAGAAGAAGAGACCGCAGTACTGTAGCTGCTACAATACCGTGACCCAAGCTCCCACTTCATTAAAACTCCTAACCATTACGTTGTGGTTCAAAGCATGAACCTACTTCAACAAAACTATGGATAAATATATAGCATTCTATAATTAATATCTTAATGAGCTTTTATTAAGCCAAATACACAAAAAATGCAAATGGTTTGTTAACAAATTGAGCCTAAATAATGTGTTCAAGTTTGGTTCAATAGTTAGCGAACAATCCAAACACAAGTAGTACAATAAGCCACGCATGAGCTATTTGCGTCGAGCTGGATGGACACCTCTACTTACAAGTGCTCTTAGGCACCCCATCACCACCATACTTGGTATGAGCTTGATAATTCCCTCACTATTATTTGATTTGCAGTAGATCCAACCATATATCAAATTAGCAAGCAAAAAAATTTTCTCTAAACTCTTAACTAATCAACCTCTAGGACCATTATAAAATTTGCAAAAAGGAAATATAGTTGTTTTCCAGAATATTAGCCATGACTATAAACCAATTTTACAAAATCAGTTACAAAGATGAAACCTCGTGATTCATTAACCAAAACAACACTCCAACAATGTCTTAGTAGAAACTTCATGCATCACATATGGACCGTATGAGGCATGGTAAGTTAGAAGTCTTCTATTTCTCCCCATCTTTTTAATAATGAGAATGAGCAGGAGTAGATTGCAGCATTAGAAACCAAACTTATAATAGCATATGAAATGATGAAGGATTCAGTTCTCTACTTAATTTATAAGATCAAAATGAACAAAAATTCAACTGCACTGTTGATGATGTCTTGAAAGTAAGAGAGACGGGTTGAGTACATGTAATCAAAACAGGACAGAACCGTTCTTATTAGTGAACCAAGCTAGAGTATTTTGACTAGGCCAAAAAAGAAAATATATAGTTTACTAAATTCAGGAACTACGTTTTATTTTAACATGAAAATAGTTCTTGAATTGATGTTAAAGAAAATTCAAATGCATAAAATGAAATGGTTCAAATAAAAATCAAGTTTACTAAATTCAGGAACTACGTTTTATTTTAACAAGAAAATAGTTCTTGAATTGATGTTAAAGAAAATGAAATGGTTCAAATCATTGGCACATATTTTCTCATAAGCACAGAAAATTTCCCTAACACTGGTTTGTAAGTCTTCCATGCTGTAAGTAGGTCAGTCCCTAACCTTAAAATGTGGAGGGAAAGACTGCAATAGCTTGACCCTTAGACACAAACCAATAACTGTTGCCATACTGCAATGCTGAACAGTTGGGGTGAAAGTTATCCTACAAATACAAGAAACAGTTGGTAACATGACAGTGGAATAAGCCTTCAAGTAGAGTGGCAGTTGTCATGAAGATATTTTCTGATAAAACAAAACAAAAAGCACAAAGCAAGGAAAACAAAGTAGAAAGTAACATGATTCCAGGAGAGAGATCCATAACAATTCATGACCATTATATTCAAAATACATTAAATAACCAATCAAGGAAATTTATAGGCATGAAAAAGCCTAAAGTTTAAAGATAATATAAGCAAGATAGTCCACAAAAAATCTTGGCAGCCACGTTAGGCCTGAGTAACACATTCTGGCGAAAAGATAGAATCAGAAATGATTTAATCACCCAAGAAGGTGAAAATAAACCAACATGTGGATTAAATAAAAAGGGAAATCACGTGCAAGTACCTTCCATTTGCTAACATTGAAATTAAAATAAAATAAGGAGAAATTTTTCAAGATTTTTAATTTCTATTACCTTGTACAAAAAAGGAAATATGTATACATTTTCAACAGTTGCTATAAAAAATGAAATGAAACAGAAAAAAAAAAGTTATGGGCCAGCAGCCTATAGGGAAGCAGACGACTTGCAATCCAAGGGCTTTAAGTAATTGATTTATCAATACAAGGCACTTATTCGCATACCTTAAGCTCTTTATTATTTATAATAAATGGAGATTAAGTGGGCTAGAAGGAGAATGGGGCAGACTACAACAGTCGTGGCATTGGAGCCGAAAACTATAGCAGCCATGGTATCATTGTCGCAGGACTTATTAAGAGAAGTTCAGCACTCTCCCTCAAAATAAATGGTAGAAATTTATCATCCAAGTTTGCCTATAATATCTTTTAATGTGTAAATGCGGCATTCTATGGTGAATATGTGGAAATGTGGCATTCAATTTATAGGGTACCTTGCCTTTTGTATATAATTTCTTTTCCTAGGCTTAATTTAAGATATCTAAAAATTTTATAGGGGGTTTTATGGTAAGACTCTTTGAGATTGTGTATAAATTGGCAAACAAAACTTATTGTGAATGTGATAACATAATGGGTGAGAAATATGTAGATTAATTTTTCTACTCATATTTAATATTGTCCCGTATCTACATCATCTTATTTATCAAGGTCCAACTTTTATCTTAGTTCAATTAGAATTTCACATAGCTTACAATCTGTCATCTTGATTTCCTTAAGCAGGCCTATAATATTTTAATTGGGAGAGAAATATCAGCTATTCAAATTGAGCCCCTTAAAGAAATAGTTTGGTTTTCCTAACTCTTTGATTTCAAATGCTTTAGTGAGTTTTTTCATGAGAGCTTCTTTCTAATGATTATCATCCCTAGTAACAATCACATCATTAACATATATAATAAGAATTGAGATTTTATTATTGAGAGAGTCCTTTTTAAAGTAAATATGGTCTCCTTGATTTTATTTTGTATCTAGCTATTGCACTTAGAATTTCTTTATATTATTGAATATTTGTACATGTTATATTCATACCAACTTGAATTGACACTGACAATAACTATGATTTGTTATTGTATTTATATGATAAGCATGTTTATCAAACTTTCGCTTGTAGGTATTTTTATCATGTGATTTATGCATGTCATTTATGATTTGCTTTATATGAATGCTTGTTAAAAAGATTATGATTATAGAAATGTCGCAAGTATTGTGATAGGTAGGCTATTACATGAATGCTTGCAAGTACGGATAATAGGAAACAATGAGATTCCTAACTTATGATGTTCAGACGGGAGGCGAAAAATCCGGAAACTGTTGGTACCAGAAAAGGACGAAAATCTGAGAACCATTTGTATAAGATTGGTTATTGATAACTGATATATTGGGAGGGGCTCAACTTTTATCAATAATTATATTTGCTCTATGGCATAGAATGTTGGCCTTTAAAAGAGAAACATAAACTTAAGTATTTTCGAGATGAGATTGCTTAGATGGATGAGTGGCTTTACACTTAGAAACAAAAAGCGAAATGAATATATCTCTGATAGGGTTGGTGTAGAGAGAGCCGTCTTAGATGGTTTGGTCACATTAAACGTCGACCATCTGATGATGCGGTTAGGAGAGTAGATGCTAAAAAGACTTGAGCATATTATATAAAAAATGATCTTAATTTATTAGCATTAAATGAAAATATGACACTCAATAGAGCGCAATGGAGAAAAATAATTCATGTAACCGACCCCACTTAGTGGGATAAAGGCTTGTTGTTGTTGTTGTTGGACAATATGACTACCTAATTGCATGAAATGATATCAATGTAGTCAAAATTTATGCAATTACAAGTGAGATTCCTAAGATGATATTATGTGATTATAAAATCCTTATGCATATGATTATGATTTCAAATGAATGAAATGCATGCATGACACGGTTGCTAATGTTTACTGCACTTTGTCATTTATCTTAAATGTTTCATATGATTAAAGCATGTTTATATTTATATTTTTCGGACACACATATGAGCTGCCAATAATAATGCATGTTGCCTTCTTTCTATCTACAAAATCTTGTTTTAGTATTGATTATTTAGTTGAACTTATAGTTCACTCTTATATTGTTGATTTTCAAGAAGAGATAAGGAGAACCAAGGTGAAAAGTCAACTGTGATTATTGCATAGCTTTTATATTATATAGTTTTTTAAGGTTGTATAAAATTTTGGATACGTTGTTTATTATGTTGAATTTTCTAACAGCTATGTATATATATTTTGGTGACATGACTTTCACGCTTCCAAACATATGAGAATGCGATGAATTATGAATTGAAATGATTCATGAATGTTAGTGACGATTGAGTTAGACGAATTCATTATCCACTAGGTTTTGATAGTGTAAGCCTGAACGAGTGTTGGTGAGGATTTTGTCAGATTGAGTCGTCCCTCTCCATTGCAACACGATTGAACCTAAAGGGGTCAGCTGGGGTATGACAATCACAAACCTTTAAGTATATTTGTTTCACAACATTCTAGATTTATTTACTTATTATTAGGAGAATATATAGTTTGTTGATTCTCAATATCATGAAAAGAATCCTTTCCATCTGATGCAACAAAACTAAATCAACTCCACTCAATATAAATCTAATAAGGTGGTCTAACTTTCCTTTTTGGTTGAAAAATTTTACACAATTTGAGACCAAATAAGGTAATTTTTTTCAATCCATCTAATTGAAGATTGGGGTTTTTAATACTCATCCAGTATGGTTTGGTTAGAACCATTTGGTTGGTCAATGTTCTCTAAAATTGAAGCCATTATCATTGGAATGATAATGTAATTATTTTTCTCTTTATGTTTACAATTCACCCTATTGTAGTGGTTCTCCTTGTTCTGGTGACAAGTGCAAGTGATGCTCCTTGCCAATGAAGACAATAAGTCATTCTCTTGTTGTAGATGGGAACCTTCTCTACTTGAGGTGGACTGTTGGAAGGTGCACAGGGTGATTCTCTAAAGGCAATAGAAGCCTTCTTTATTGGAGGTGTGTGAAACTTCTTGGTAAGAGACTAAAAGGAGGTGGGTGAAAAGCTTCTTGCTAGGAGCCTATTAGATGGGGGCAAAAATGGAAGGGAGCAACAACTTAGACATTCTTCCTGGGAACTGGTACTTGGAAGAGAAATCAAGAAGGATGCCCAAGAATTTTTTTTCATAGGGCTCTCACACCATAAAAAAAGTAGAGTTTGAATTTTATGTGAATTGCATTGAGAAACCTCCACCCTTAATTACGCTGAACTAGGAAAATTTTTCCCTTTTGAATTAACTAATTACACGGGGATTGTGTGAAATAATTGCTAAGATAGAATATACAAATATCAACCAAATTTCTCCATATACATCTATGAGAATAAAGGAGGATTATTGCATAGCTTGTAGATATTTAATCCTGCATATTACCAGTATGGCACAAAAGTCCATTAACACCAACTCTATCAAGCTCTCTCTAAGAAATTCTGATTCACTGGCATCACTAAATTAGCACTGCACTATCATTCAAAACCAATATAAGGAATCCTCCTAATAAAAATACAACAACAACAACAACAACAAGAAGCTTTTATCCCACTGAGTGGGGTCGGCTACATGAATCATTTTCTCCATTGTGTCCTATTGAGTGTCATATTTTCATTTAATTCCAATACATTAAGAGTATTTTTTATACAATATGGCCAAGTCCTAAAAATAAATAAATAAATAAAAATTAAAAATTAAATTAAAGTGTATAGCGACAAAGCTTATAAAAACAAACTTGTGTTCTATCTGTTCATTGAACTCAAAGCTTCAATTTTGCTAGCTACAGAACAACAAGAATGCAACCTGTCATAATAAGTATCAAAAGCGGGCAAATCAGAACAAATGTTAACGGCTAACTCGTAAATAAAACCTACTGAATTCGGCCAAGCTTTTCATCTACACTAATAGATTCCTCAGAAAGCACGCTAAGCTGCTCGAGTGAGTAGGGATGCTCTCCGGATCCCTAATATCCCTGACCGAATCTGAATTCCCTCTAGTCAAGAAAAATGTATCACAGGAAGCACAACAAGAATTTTTTCTAAACCAACAAACAATTAAGAACCTATATAATTCCCCACATCCAACTACCAAAGAAGGCGAAGCGAAAATGGAGTTGGAGATTGATTACTTTCGGAATTCAACGGAATCAAAAGCAGGATACCAAAGACATCAAGGGGATCCACTGCATCATCTGCGTGAGTATCCTCAGCGCGGGAGATCCTCTCCTTCTTCGCGTGGACTACCGGGTTCGCATTGATCAGCCCCAGCGTCATCCCTCCCTCCCTCACTCGGTTAAAATATTTGCGTACATAAGGCTTATTATTCAGGGTAGAGGGGTTATATCTGCCCCTCCTTGTAACCTGTAAATGAGCTCGGAGTTGGGCATTTTTATAATTTCATGAAAACAAATAAGTTATACGAAAATTACAGGAAAGTTACATAAAAATTAAGGCCTGTACCCCCTAAATAATCACTGATGTGCGCAGCGCTGCGTAAGTCTTATGTATACAAATATTTTCCCAGTTGAGGACTCACTTCTCCCCGTGCCCAGAGAAAATGATGAGTGGAATGGTAGGTTATGGTTTGCTTCGTCATAACAAATTTTGATTATTTTTTGTTATTTTTTAAATTGTAGGAGATAAAAGTTATATTTTACGATTAAAATTTATAAAATATGATAGTTGTAGGGGATTTATTTTCTGATTTTTAAAAGAATTTATAATTTTCACAGCATATTTCAAAATAACTTACTTTCACACAAGGACATTACAATCACTATTATAAAAAAATATATAGGCACCTCAAATTGATCCTCTGTAAATGATGAACACAATTTCAACTTTGTTGATTAATTGGGTTCTAGTTTGAAGTTAAAATCAATTTTATTAATGAAAAATAGTTTTGATTCAAATAACTAATATAAAAAATTATACAATTAAATAATTAGATAATAAATTTTAAAAAAAATACTTTAGACAAATAATTATAAGTATTTTGATAGCCATTTACTTAAGCTATTGATTTTTAACAAAAATTTTTTTATATGCCTTAATATCTTAATTTGGGTAAAAATGTTTACTCCTTATTTTGTTGTTAAAAGATGCTCGAAATTTTATTTTAGATAAAAATGTTGTTCTTATATTGATGTTTCCGTTATTCGAATTGCCCCATTTGACACTTCACCATTCTTAAAAACTATTTTTATCATTCTTCAGCTCGATAAGACAATAATAA